ACTCCAGGGATGCCAGTTTTTATTCCCCGGCCGAAGGTCGGATACTTTTCTCACAGGCCTCGTATACATATAAACATATACAGCCATACACACATATAGGGTGGTTATAAAGTCTTGCCTCTGGCTTAGTTTATTTTTTGTTAAACACAAAGCTGCACAGTGGGCTATCTGTTCTGTGCACACTACAAGAACCAAACCCAGAATTTTGATGTTGTAAAGCCCTCAAGCTTACTGCTGAGCCACCAGCAGTACATCCAGTTCAGAGGTGGTATAGTTCAGACATGACAGTGCAGACAGAGTTGAAATTCACAAATGCTGTGAATGATGTTTACATTTCACACAGAAAGCTGGGTAAGAAGCTGGATACCTCAGAAGAAAACTGCCCTTGTGAAGCTCCAACTAGGATATAATGCAGCAGAAGTAATGCCTCTGCGAGTGTTTGTAGGTGTGGCTCTTAGAGCTGTTTTTGAATTTAACATATATATATATTTTACTTAAAATTCTTTTATGGTTATCATAGCTTCTACCAATAATCAACTGAATGAAAAATTATATAAATTATTAACCATAATTGTGAATGTGTTTATATGTCTTGCACCTTGTTCAGAGGGGTGTAGTTCAGACATGATAATGCAGATTGAGTTGAAATTCTCAGAGTACAAATTTCATTATAAAACCTGGAAAACATCATTGTCCAAATTATCATACATACAAGAAACAAAATGCTACAAATCTGTGTATTAAACAGAGCAGAAAATTCTTAGTAACTGACTAATGGTGGAGCACACACACACACACACACACACACACAAAAATGCCAGAATTACAAAAAAGTCCTTTATAAATTGTATTGAAGTACAGAGCTTGTCTTCCAACAATATACCCACAGAATTAACTGATCTTCACTAAACTGAAGATTCCTGAACCTAGTATGTGAAGAACAAGTGTAGTGGTTTGTTATAGGTGGAAGACACAAGACACAATGTGAAGTTAAATAAACACTTTATTTACTGAGCACAAGAAACAGAAGAGTAGTTGATTATTAAGGAGAAGACAAATGTACTGTGCTATGGAATAATAAATCTCTGCTATAAAGACTACATTAAAAATACAACTGAGGATAAGAAAGACAAAATCTTAACCCCTTGATGATGATATTAAGCTAGGATTGATAAGCTTCCATGATTTCCAGCAGGACTATGCAATTCAGAAAACTGACAAAGGACAAACCAGGTTCTCTGACAATCAACCAGAAGGAATATAAAAGTAGAAAATTAAAAAAAAAACATTATGCTTCCTGAAAGAAATTTTACATTCTAAGCTGACACAACTTCTAACTATGGCAGGTATAGCCAAATAAATACCACAAAATGATGGTGTAAAGTGTTGTAGCAGGTTTATACAAATCCTTCAAAAGAATTTGTGTAAAAAACAGTCACAAAAAAATCACATGCTGAAGCATCCACCATCATCACTTTCAAATTCTGAGAGGTGGCAAACCCATCAATTATAAGAACTTCCGAGTGAAAGTATAGAAGCATGTATCATAATATAATAGAAACACCATATCTGCTCTATCCAGTGGATAGATGAAGCTTTTCGACCTATCCCAGGGATCTTCAAATGTAATAGAGGTTGAGACGCTATTTTTTTTATCAGCAAGTTTCTTTGCAACAACCGTTACAGTGTGAACTAGATTAAGTTGGTGAAATGTAATTCTAATCAATATTATACGTTACTACATACCAGAGTTTCGTTAAGGATTTGTTAACACTACCATATTTATTTATTTTAACACCATATTGCTTTAGGACTTTCAAAATCCTGAGAAAAGAAGTCTGAATATCACGTAACAATGAGGCCTCCGTATGTATGATTCCATTAGGATGTAAAGGATAATGTACCAAGAGATTTGTGATACCCAGTACATAGCATACTTGCACTGTAATTGAATGAGGTCATGCCTATAAAGGATTCACTACTTCTTAGCATAAGCACCTTAAAGAAAGTACCTATTCTGTTAATATAAGACACAAGTATAATAATATGCAATGTGAACATGGAAGCTCACATTCAGTAACAACAAACCATACTCTTACCATTTGAAAACTGCAGTTTCAAACAGTTCAAGTTCTCATCACACATTGTCATTCAGAGGAGCTTTATATGGATTTATGTATGGAAAATATTTTGGTCTGCTTTTAGAAATACATAGATTTTTATAGGAGGTGAAGAGATGAAAAAATATAACCGTGTTTATATCTTAAAAACACCACCAAACACAATAATTATTTGTCAGTGGGAATAATTACCACCAATTCCATAAGCAGTTTTTCCCAAAGAGTCAATAATTCTAGATCATTGATCCTGTCCCCAGTTAAGCACATGTTACCCCTAAAACTGCTTCCCCTTTCTTGAAGGAAGCATCTGTAAACAAATAAAAATCAGATGAGGGAAGCTATAAGGAACCCCCGAGTCATGCTGATCTTGTTCCACCATCAATTTAAAGAGAAATAAGAATCTAATTCAAAAGACTGGTGTATCTGCTAATGAAGCATCATGATCCACTGAAGTACACAGAGATGAGTTTGTGTGTGTGTGTGTGTGTGTGTGTTGAGTTCAAAATACAAAACTCAAATTCCCTGAACAAAATGCAAGTAGTGACAAAAGTAGTAATGACATAAAGATGTGTATCTACAATGTCCATTCAGGATTTCCACTAACCTAGCCAAATAATCCCCTTATCTTTTTGCAAATTAAGGAACATTATCTCCCAAACAAAATACAAGTAACAACAAAAACAGGATGAATGAATGCATTGTTCTTTCTAGATTTCTACTACCCTAGATGAATGTCCTCCTTTTATTTTGAAATAAGGAATATTAGAAAACAATCTGGAAGAGTTAACTTTAAAACTGTACACTATGCTCTCATAGCTTCATTAGCCAAAAAATTAAAAAATAATTCTGATACAAGAGATTACCCTGTTAGCTAAATGCCAATGGCTAAATGGAAACAGCTGAAGTAATGAGGATGGTAGACCCATAAACATTCCAAGCCCTCTTCAAAAGCCATCAAAACCCACAAGTCCAAAGAACTACAAAACTTCAAAGATCCATAAACTTTCCAAACCTACCATGCACTGGTCCTTGAACCATAGGAATATGTGAGAAATCACTTACTCATTCCTGAATGGCTTGATCATAACAAGGTAATACAATGGGAAAAAGAGTCTGGAAGAAACTTAGAGTATTCTCTAAGAATATGATATAATCCAGAAAAATCTGATTGATAAAGAAGCATCAGATCAAAAGGCATGGCCTGAACCCCCTTCTCCTAAGAACTATCCAGGATGAAAATATAAATGTTCCAAAGTATGAGAAATTACCATCAAGGAAGGATTTTAATGGAAAAAAAGAACATGTAAAAAGACAGTCTCTAAAAAATGAAGAAACGAGAAAAATACTGAAACCAAGAAGTCTTTTACATCATTAATCTTTGTGGCTGCAATGTTTCAAATCAAAAGCAAAATATAAAGTTTGGAAACAGTTTGTGAAAGAAATTTTATTACAAATGTATAACATTTTCACAAGCATACATACCTGATGATGACATCAGCTTGCCAAAATGTTGTACATTTGTCATAGTTTCTTTCACTCCCCACTCAAGCCATCTCCAAACTTTATTTTCGAAAGAGTGGGTTCCTTTTCATGAAAAGCAAAATATGCCTCTTACAGTGTTACACAAGTCATCTTCGTTACAAAGTCAGCAAAAAACACAAAAATTAAGTTTGAACCAAAAATATTCATCTGAAGGGGAGATAGGGAAAGAAAATAATTATATGTGTATTGCACAAAAAATTAAGTTCAGAGTTCACAGTGAATAAACCCCCAAAAAAATATGAAACTATATAAGCAGGCTATCAAATTTTCTGAAGTTTGAGCACATGATATAAATACAAGAAAATTATACCAGCATCAGAGTACAAACAAATTAAAAACAAGTTGACAAAGCATTAACAAAAACTGTGACCAAAATTAACCCTAGGATAAATACAATGCAACATAGAAATAACAAGCTTCAAAATCTTAACTCTATATATATATGAAGGGTTACAACTATGTGATGCAAAATACAAAAATCTCTTATGAGAATGAGATCTGTAAAATACTAAATATTTCTGAAAGGTGAAATGGTAGAAGAGAAGAGTATAGGGTCTAATTCTTGCAAAAGAGATAACACGGAGAAATAGTAAATGTAAGTTATGGCTATTATTGTTCAATTCAAGTAGTTTTATGCATCTTAGCAAACTATGGTTCAGTAACATAAAAAAGATTTTAGTAGTGAAAAATCATACCTGCAAGGAAACAGTCCTAGACGAGAAGCTATCCAAGCTACAGCAAAAATCAAGAACAAGGAGTCTGTTAGTTGTTTGTGGCCTATGTACTTTGCCATCTTGGTCAACTGTAAGTAAATAAATGATATATATATATATAAATACACACACACACACTGTTTTTAAGTTGAAGAGCACCTCTTTACTGACATCCTTTCGCCACAGTTTGAACAAATATTACACACTGATATATATATATGTACATTTCATATCAACATACTAGAAGACAATGTTGAGCTATACTTTAACAAGAAGTAAAGGCATCATTCAATAAATAGCATGATTTAAGGTGAAAAAGTGTTATCAATTAAACAAGCTAGAAATAATTGAACACCATAGTGTTTTCTGGTCTGGTTAAATTATCCACGCATGAAAGCTAAACTTCTCATAAACACCATGTATTTACAGAAATCTAATCACCTTCTCAGCTAATGGTTTTTTTCTCATGGCCTTCATGATTACCTTACAATACCTAAAAATTGCTATCTATAAACATTAACTTGATGTAATGTGTTTTAATACCACAAACATTGAAATTTTCCTGTCTCCAATAAACAATGACTTCACAAAATAAATTTAAGCTAGTTAGCCACTGACCTATGAAAGTTTCAGTTAATTGTATACCATCTACCAAGAAATTGTAGTTCTACACAATATTACACCAACCTTTAACATAAACGTTTCATGCATATAAAGAAAATCATACTTTCAGGTAATTGAAAACTGTCAAGTATACCTTATACTGTAGAAAACTTTGTATCCTGAATTATGCTAATAAGTGGAATATACAAAGGAATTGAAAACTAATCCTATATCTAAAATATGACTTCATTATAGAGAAAACTTAAAAAAAATTCCTTCTTTACATCAAAAACATATACTTAGTTATTTTAATAAGAGATAATGATACTTCTAAATATTAAGCCTACATTTAACCTATGTATCACATATAGTAAGTTAAAAAATCTGAGAATTCAGTTACAATTCTAGTGTTAGTACATGCAGCTGTGTATAGTTTACATATCACATGTAGTAGGTCAAAAATATAATTTAATTACAATTCTAATGATAATACATGCAGCTGTGTATAACCTACGTATCACATATAATAGGTCAAAAAATATCAATTTAATTACAATTCTAACGTTAGTACATGCAGCTGTGTATAACCTATGTATCACATACAATAGGTTAAAAATATCACAATTTAATTACAATTCTAATGTTAGTACATGCAGCTGTGTATAACCTGCATATCACATATAATAGGCCAAAAATATCACAATTTAATTACAATTCTAATGATAATACATGCAGCTGTGTATAACCTACGTATCACATATAATAGGTCAAAAATATCACAATCTAATTACAGTTCTGATGTTAGAACATTCGCTGATGTTTAACACTAGCAATCTATTCAGTCCAACCACTGTTGAGGAACATTAACCTGCTGGCCCAGTTTAAAATAACCACCAACTGGTTTGCAACAATAAATATCTTAGATTAATGATTTTATAGCAGAACTATGTAATGGAGAATTTTACAGCCTTAACATATACAATCAAATCCAGAGTAAATTAATAGTGATGACATTTATGGATAGATTTAAATTTAAAGACATTCCAATAGGGTAGTGAAAACTTTTGGACATATTTCAGACATGGGAGTGAATTCATATGAAAGATATAAAATACCATGAGTCACACTGTTAAAAACTTTATCTGGAAACCAGTATCTAATGCATTATATCTAATAATGTTGTACATACATTAAATAACAATAGATCTGTTATAGTAATACAAGAGATATTGATGAATAATCAGTTATAATCACCATCTCATTTGTTATTTTACAATAAAACTAGTAATCAAGTAGGATGAAAGATTATACATCATTCAAGGATAGCTACAATATTCTACACAGTTCTTCTGTTAAGACTGCAAGTAATTGTGTGAAAGTATTGTACCAAGTGAAGGCCCTTTATAGATTTATTGTTTAGACTTTTATTCTTTAAAACGATCTGGTCCAAATTATTATAGAGTATAAATCTAAATCTTCTCACCTCAAGAGGAATATCAGCAAAGTCGTGGATTACAAGAACAAGGGTTCCAATACGCCAGAAGTTACAGGCCCAGGAAAAACTCAACAACATGATTGTGATTATATGGTGAATAAACATCTGAAAGAAATCCTGACAACAAAGGAAGTGAAAAATAAGTAATAAGTAGAACATCAGTTTACTAGTTAAATAGTGAGATCTTGATACATAACAACATATGTAATACATTTTTACACCTTACAGAGAAATAACACGATGTTCTTCCCAAACTCACCCTATCATAACACAGTTAAGTATGATGAAAGTTTATTAAAAGTAAATAGTTTTCTGAAAAACTTTTGTGAGAATATTTCTCCTTCAGAAGAGATATCATTAAAACCTGTAGTAAATGAAAATATTTCATCATTTATGGGCTACAATGATAAAAAAAAATTCTTTAAATTATACAAACACACTGATATAACCAAAATATGTTAGGACAATACATCTCGAGAACGGAGGTGTGTTCCACCACTGTGGCACCAATTTTAGAGAAAGTGGCCCCACCTTTGGTATCAATCACAGTCTGATCTCTACTACTAACATTACCAGCAACTGTTTGAACATGTTTGGTGGAACAGACTACTACTGCCCTTATAAAACAGCTCCATTTATAGCACAACTTTAGAGTATGTTCTTTTTGTCATTCAGGCAGCATTCCAAAATGTTCTAGAGGTTTGTTCAGATTTAGATGAGGGTTACAGATGACACAGAGTAAGTTCCAGGTATTATTTGTCTCACATCATAGTTAGACATGATGTGCAATATGGCCTGGGCAATAATCATACCAAAATGTATACTACTTCTCTGTAGAACTTCATTAATACAAGTAGTAAAGCACTGTCCAGAATGTCACAATATGACATGGCACTTTCAACTAGAACAAGTGTAAATTATTCAAAACAGACCTTTTTATAAAGAGCTATGTAAATAAAGCAAGGGGTAAAGAGTTGGAATTTCTGCAGAGGCTTAGATTTTCATACATAATATGTAAAATTTCTTTTATCCACAGTTTATGATCATTAAATCCGTAAGTTAGAATTGAGAAGTTTTCTTAGGAAACGGGGTGTGATGACATTTTGCTATGAGAATATACGAGAGAGTTAAGTGGAATTTGAAGTTTAAGCCAAGTTCTGTTAGAAACTCTCATGCATTCCAAGACATGTATTGGTAAGTGGTGAGAAGTCTTGTCTATACAGGTGGCTTTACACCTACTACATGTATATTTATATACAACCTTTGAGTGTAGGTGTGAAGGTAAAATAGTTTTAGTTACTGACACAAAGTACTCATTTCAAGACAATGTGGAGATTAATCTGGGGTTAGAAATACCCAAGTAGCTTATTGAGTTGGGTTTTAACAATAAGACTGTTTTTAGAGGTAAGGAATAACAAGTGTTAGAGGAAATTTTGAAAATTATTGGATATTATTCATTCAGTGAAGTTCTTTTCTTAGTAAGAAAGTTACTTGTTAAGTTATCAAGTAACGATGAAGGTATTTCATTATGAATGAAAATGTAATCCAAGCAGAGTAAGCCCCATGAAGAAGAGTTAAGACTAAATTTAGTTTAAATAATTATGGCAAAAAAACTTTCAAAGTATGTGTACAAACCAGTAAAAGTTTTCTTTCTGTAAATGGAGGTACTAAATTCCTTGTTTCATTTTTGAGCTTGAACATCAAGGACAGAAAGTTTGTTTTGATTTTCAATTTCACAGTGGAAATAAGAGCATTGAGAGTTTAAGTGGTTAGAATTTGTCAGTATGTTCATGGTTGTGAAAGAGTACAAATGCATCATCTACATACCTTTTGTACAGCATGGGTGTAACATCAGAAGAACACTTGTTCAGCCACATGTGCTCATGATGATAGAGAAAGATATTAGTTAGCGTGGGTCCTAGTGGTGAACCCATCGCAATGCCATGGTCATACAACTGAACATTAAAGACAAAGTGGTTTTCTTTTAAAGCTAGGTTTAATTGTTGTGCAAGTTGCTGTTTGTTTTATCTTATATAATATTTTATAGTTTTCTAACACTATTCATTATATTTATATATTAGTAATTATACTAAAGACCCTTTCATGATTTAGCCCCACAATTATTTACAGTTGGGATAACAGTCATGTGTGAAGCCATCCCAATTTAACACCTAACCCCAACCCATCTATTCAAACCAAACAATGCATTGCAAGATTTATTAATAGACAAGATTATATTTTTCATTGTTTTTCAATACATGAGAGTTGATGCCTTCAATTAAATAGTTATGGACTGTATTCCATTTGAGAAACTTAACAGCATGGATCCCAATGCACACAGTGGATGATAGGGGGATGAAATTCATATTATCAATGCTGCATTCTTTTTAAAGGCTTATGAACTACTTTCTTAATGGCATCTTTACTCTAACTGGCTAGATGTTGGTACTACTGATTTCTGTGAATTCTACACAGCAGTGCATCATGGTAATTACATGCAAATTCAGTGTAGACCATTACTAGTTCAGGGTGTGCTGTCCTAATACTTTTGGAAGGGTATAGTAAATATTTGTATTGAATATATCTATAGCAACTATAAAATATGTATTAGAGAAATTTAACTTACCGAACATTATCTGTGTATATATGTGTATATATATATATATATATACAATAGACGTTAAGTACATATATCCCAAAATTATCAATGCTTTGAAGTGAAGAAATTCATGTCCTTAGCTACTTTATAAAATCTCCAACAGATCTACAAGGGTATATTGCAGGAACTTTATCAAAATTAAAACCTATAATGCAACAATTAATCATAAAACACATACTGAAGTTTTGGAAGAGCATCACAAAGTCAGTCTATTATTAAAAATTACAACACAAACAGTTTTAGAAATGGAGTAAACACCTACAGGTATTTACCTGCTAATCACCAACTTAAGTTACCCAACATAAAATACCTTTACAAAGACATTACCAAAAATAGGTAGGATGGAATTTTCATACATTACTAAAAAATTTAATGTCTAAAAAACAACGCTTTCTCTCACAAGCATTTACTTTGTTTTTCTAGTCATGTGAGTATATTAAATACACTCAAATTTGTTGTACCCATACTACCTCGTAATAACTATTTCAGCAAAATCTATAAAGTATTTTCATTAAGACAGGGTGATCTTTTCATGAAACAACTACAATTATACCTCATTGGATAGAAGTATTAAATATAACAAAGAATTCTGTATGTTTCTGGTAATCTAAACATTTCTATGCCTGAGTAGTAATCTATATACACATATTAGGTAAGGTACAAGCAAGTGATAAAAAAATGAAGTGGTAGAAAGTCTAATAGGATTAAATATTATGGATGTGTTTATTTTAGTTATTTCACTGAAAGCTTCATCTTAAACTCTCCATGCTACATAAAATCTTAGCCAAGACATAATGTACTACTAACTATAAGAAACTTTTTTGCTAACACTACCTATTAAAAAAAATTTAGTTCCACTTACATGGGTGCATACTTACCTTGCGCTTTACATCCATAAATTGAGAGAAAGTAAGTGACCAATAAAACCCCAACTCAATCATGTAGTACCACCAGATGTCATTGGTGACCGACTTGCCAAGAAAACAAAATATGTAACACTGATAAAACTTATATAAAATATGTCTTTGCACGCATGCGTGTGTGTGTATGTAACAGAAACAAAACGTAAACACTGTTGGGGTTAGATCAAATATACAACTACATAGAAACAATGAGTACTTTCCAAGTTGATAGTAACATTTTCTTAACACTGACAGTCATGGAAATTAAAATTAGCTTATCTGAGCGCGTTATTAATTCATCTAATGGTAATATTAACAGCTCCAGGCCCCAAACCATCAGATAAAACATTTCTCAAAGTTTTCCTGGCAGAAGATTACTTTTCAAAATGTATGAAGATTAAACAAAATTCCCCATAACATGTTTTAAAAAAGTTATTTTAAGTATGGTAATAGTCCCACAGAAAAACAAATTGATATTCACCACAAATAGCTTTGATTTGAGTTTGCCACTTTATAAAATAATATTTTCAAGTTTTAACATATCACTATTGTGAAAACAACAGACACATGTAAATAAAGACTACTACAACTGCAGTGTCACTTCAAGATGTTTTTGCATTTTATAATTCATAAGTTGAAGAATTTGAAACCAATATTAACAACTTTTTGATTATTCACTTGACTTGCCTACAACGTTTTGTGATAGTTGGAGATTCGAAACATTCGGAAACTGCCAATGAAATTTGAGCTTCGAAACGTATTATAACAAAACTCATACACAACTAAATAGTTTTCAGTTTCTTATATATTTGATGTACAGATGACTGTAACTACATTGAAGTAAACTAACATGCAATGGTAATATGCAGGACTTTACAACAATACTACACTGATGGTTAGTTTTGAAATATGATAGAATATTTGCATTGTTTTTTTCTTTATGAATAGTTCTTCCACATCATAGAAAATAAATCCCATATAGTAAGCATACTGTGTCATTTTCAATTCTTCATACTTTAGATCATTACGTTAGTATACTGTACACTTTATGCAATTTTTCAACAGTTCAGTAACATTTCCTGTGCGTTTAAGTCACAGACAATTATTTCAATCTCACAGAAGTACTCAAAAATAAATGGATATTACATTTTTCTGTTTAGAATTAGAAATTAACTTAAAAAAAGTTATCATCAAGGAATTTCATAATTTATATATAAAAATAATGCATACCTAAATTCATCTACATTCTAAAAACAAAATTTGTTATTTGTTTTCTAAAATAATAATTAATTACAGCTGTAAAAGTTAACGTATGAGTATCAAGGAAAGGTTGTAAAAAAATTCTAACTGTTTACTAGTGCTGAACAAAGTGGCACACAATATCTGAATCTTCTAACTTTATTGGATGTTATTATCATCTAAACTATGATTGGAAGAATAAGCTCTTGTAACAATACTCTGCCTAACTTCTCAATCTGATATCACTCACACAACACAACCAGTGTGATTTTGTTGTTAAATGAAAGGTTTGTTGTGACACTTTACTATATCACACTACATATAATTTTGGACACATTTTTTGGTATAGCATGGGCTATACATTTTATTTTTAAGAATTCTGAGTAACAGTGAAATAAATTCAATACAAATTACAATAGTTTCCACATATGTTATTTGATAACAGTATTTAAATTATATATAAAAAAAAGACGTTCCAGATCAACTTACATGGTCAGGATAATCATACCAGCAATATTTGGTGTCCCAGAACCACTGTTTCTAAAGTAATAAATATTCAATTCTATTATTATAAATTATAATAAGAATTAAAATAAAGTGCAAAAAAAAGTAAAAAATATAAACCATATTACATAAATCAAACTATCCTACTTAAACAATCCTTAACAGGTTAGTTACAGTAACAGAGTAACAAGTAGAAAGACTACACTTTTTCTTTTCTTTTAACCCTTTTACAATTATTTTTTCAAATTTCAGGTCAATAAAATTGAATGATACATTCCAAATATAGAGCTCCAAATGTCTTCCATCAATGAGGAAAGAAGAATATTCAGAGAGTTCTGATACAACCCCAATTCATCAAAAAGTCATCCATGAATGAGGAAAGAAGAATACTTAATAAGTACTGATACACTCTCAATCAATAAATATGTCATCCATGAATGAGGAAAGAAGAATACTTAATAAGTACTGATACATTCTCAATCAATGAAAAGGTCATCCATGAATGAGGAAAGAAGAATATTTAATAAGTACTGATTCACTCTCAATTCATCAAAATGTCAAGTACAAAATGATCATACTGTGGGATACAGTAATGACATAATTGTTAACTAGTCAATCCTCATACTCTGGATGTATCACATCTATTTGAAGTGCCATCAAACACAAACAGCTATAGCACACCACTCTACAGCTATATAGCAACATGTGTGTGGCCATTTATCTCAAATGTTAGTTATGTTGTTGGAGCATTTATTATATTTTTTAGACTATAAGGATTATTTGCACTGTTACCTTAGCATACAGATTTAAGACTAACCCAAGTCTCCTAAACTGACTAAACATTCCAAAATATTATTGAGATTATGGCCACAAATACTGATAATAGCAAGGGTACCTAACTGATGAGCAAATGCATTCTAATCATTAAAGTTTTTATTTTACGATACCAAATACTCATAGTTAGAGCAGCATATTAACTTCCCTACATTTTAACTAAAGTAATTTCAGTGATAATTTAGCTAGTTTGCTTTCAACAAAAGTTATTGATAATTAGTTTTTTTTAAGATAAAATCAGTAATTAATTTCAAGCAGGATATTTTACTCTAAAACTGAATATATAATGAATGAATTCAAATATTCTGCCTGTTATAGTAACAGCTCAATTATGATAATATTCTTTTGATATACTGTGCAACATACTGTGCAACATACTGACAAATTCATCAGTTATTTGATGACACAGAAAAATGTGTTTAAGAAAATTCCTCATTTGATGAGGGGCATTGCCATATTAAGAAATACATTTTGGGTAGAAATGATCTTCTTCAGTACTTATTTTTCATTCATTTTCTTACTATAATAATCAATCAAAATTGAGTTTTATAGTATGACTGCTTCTATAATTTCTCAATGACAAAGTTTAGTATTTCTTTATGAAAAATTTTATATTTTCTTGCATTATAATAGGGATTATTATTATTATTATTAGAGATGGAAATTACCCAAAGTTTAACTGAATCACTTGCCATCTGAAGTTTTTTTAAAAAAAACTAATAAAATAACAACTACACAGTAACACATGTGCACATTTAACTTTGAATGCACATGTCACATTTTTATATTTCACCTATTCTATGTACATTACTTTGCTCGACTTATAATCCATAGGAGTCATCGTGTTGCTTTCTGTTTAGTTAATTCAAGGAAATGCAATAAATAAACATACCCTAAAGTTAGTGGGAGTTATCATGTTATAATAATTAGTGGATAAAAGTATAACACTTTTAATTTAAAATTGAAATATCCTATAATAAGAAAACAAATATAATAAAATGATAAAAAGACAAAATGAAGGCACTAAATCCAAAAAGAAATTGATATACCTTATTTCAAACTGAAAAAATAAAATATGACTACATATGCACTCACATATATATACTAAGATATAAAATGGTATTTTGAAGGTTTTGCTGAACTCTGAAGAGTGATATTTTTTGTAGCCTTCAGTCAGAAGAACAGAGATTTGACATTTTAATCTTGGCAAATTTAGAAGGAAACCTTTTTAGATCATAGAATTAACAACACAGGAGCCAAGATTCCACTAAGAAAAGTGATTATGCTGCAACAGTAATATAGAAGTTAACCATAATAAAAGGTAAAATAAATCTTAAAAACAACTGAGACAAGGTAAGTTTTACCATTTGCTAAACTGCAGCTACTTGAAAAAGCATTTTTATAGCCATTCTGTTCATATTATTAAATTATAAGAAACAGAACCAGGAAGAATAGGTGAGGTTCATAGGGAACTTATTATATATACACTTTTTATTTTATTTTTTCCTGAATGTTAAGAAAACTTTCAGAGAAAGTCAAGAACCAACCTTGTAACTATTTTGTGCTTGTTATAGTTTTCATGCCATAACTTTTAAATTAGTAAGCAAATTTTTACAAAATTTGGCACATTATCAGTAAACATTACAATGCTTTCATATGCAAAATATCAATTCTTTTTATATTAAGTCTTAAGGTTTGTAAAGCAATGTTTTTCTCATACCTTTTTTTTTTCATATGTTGCCTGTCTAAAATACAAAGTAATTTTCATTTTAAGATAAAAATACTTTGATGCAAAAGAAAATTTTCAAATTTCACATGCAAAATCTTAATACTATCCAGATAGTTATCAAACGTTTTTAAGAAAAAACTTTATATTCTATCTGTTATTTTCAGTAATGAATCTCTGTATACGTTCAGTAAATTTGACTGCTCTCATAACGACCATAAAAAATTAGGAAATAAATATAAATTATGCCTCTTTCATTCTAGAATGACAACAGATTATAACACAAAAACATAAAAGTTTAGACTAAATAGCTTAAATCTCATAACATTGTACATTTATATATATTTATTATTTATCTTATACTGACTTTTCAGCCATGCCTGGCTAACAATACAGAAGTTACAATGACAAGGCACATGTGCACTCATGTTACCGTATCCAATAATATCAAACTGACCTTTAGTCTTTACAAAGTGACCCGTCTTTGCTGTGTTTTAGTAGACTAGTATTTTGTAATTTCAATTATTATACATTATATATGTATACAGATTATTGCTATTTAGAAATAAGTTCTTAAATGTATTTTTCTTAAAACAGAGAATGGTAAATAAAGAAGTAAAGCAAACAATTATCTCTTCTAGTTACGACCTTCGTACTCAGTTGCTGCTTGAAATAGGTTGCTAAGCCTTTTAAAATTTTGCACATGGAGAATATGAAGCAAATGTTTTTTTGGGTCTTATATATATATATATTTGAATAACCAAAAAATCAAATTCTAATAATTTATCAAGCTTAGTAACTAAGATGTATTTTACTCTAAAAAAAAAAATATGAAAATTTGAGCAGACTAAAGACACACCCTACCTCCTTGAAATATTGGTTCAAGAGAAAGAAATGGCATCCAGGTCCATTAAAATGGCTGAGAAAGCCACTAGGGGGACATTCTGAGCTTTTGACTGGTTATTCATTTCATATATAGAAATGTATATAAGGGAGCATTTCCATAAATGGAAAGAGGTGGGTGAGGTGCCACTGTGTTTGATTTATTAAATGAGCAACATCTTAGCAAATAGAAAAGATAAGATGTTCTTATTTTATATTCTAGCTTATCAGTATCAGTAATTCGAGTTTCTAATTTGTAATAAACTATAGACTTAGTATTTTGACATCACAAACATTTAATTTGAACCAGTGCTGCATTCAACATACCATGTGACACATAAAAATCAATGTTTATCTGTGTTTTTAACATAAAATAGAAGTTCAATAAAATTTTGAATGCAAGTCAACAAACGAAATGACATGGCCTTTCACCCCTGACCCGTCTCAAAAGGGGTAATGAAACATTATACCTACATCATATAATGTGTAGAATCCATACAGAAAAGTGGTGCTGTAAAAGGAGAATCTCCATCTAGAAGAAAGAAATAGGAAATGAGCAAATATGCAAATACAATATTCCCACTTACACTAAAATTAGTACAAGCATTACTTATGGTGCCAGTGAAATAAGTAAAATATCTCTTCTGTGTATAATGTAAAATAAAAAAAAAAATATCTATATATATATATATATATATATATATATATATATATGTAGTAGTAACTACTACTACTAGTAAGGTAAAACTAAACATATAGACGAAGTACTAGTATTAATTAACTAAACCTAAACTAATTAAGTTTAACG